TCTGCGCAGTCGCGCCGGAGCCCCGCCCACCCTGTCAGTACTCTTACTTCCTGCTCGCTCCCACTCGCCGGGGCACCCTAGGTCTTACTTGATGTCGTCTCTTCCGTATTCTTTCACTGCGTCTTCTGAAAGTCATCAACCGAGACAAGCCGGAGGGCTGCCTGGCGCAGAGCAGTTGTTTTCGTAGCTCGTAGGCAAAGGGTTTTCCAGCGAGAGCGAGCAATGCCCGGGTCTTTTTCTGTGCTTAAACTTCTACCCAGCAACAGAAGCTCCGACCCCGCCCTTAGCCTCTCTCATTGGCCATCTTGAATCGTAGTCTGTTGCTGTGATTGGACATCTGATATCGTGCGGCTTTTTTTCCTATTGGAGAAGTGGCCGGGAATTTTTTTTTTTTCCGGGTTGGTCCGCTGGGAAGGCGGGGTCATTTTTGCGGGATTACTTTTCTGGACTCGTTTCTGATTGGGTGAAGTGACGCAATGCGCGCTCCCCATTAGATGCTAAACTGCGGGGAAGCCGGCTCTTTTCCTCTCGGTGCTGCGGCTCTTAAACTGAATCCCTGGAGGAAACTTCCGGGCTTGGGCCACTGCAGTCTTGCGCTTGTTGTGTTTGCCTGTGCATGCGACATCTGTCTCTCCTGCAGATTGGGAGGTTCAGGCCTCATTCACTTCGGTTCCTTAATTAACAGCAGAGACATCAACAAATGCTTGTTGAATAAGGTCAAATAAAGAGCTTGGGAAGGAGCGAAGCCTTTTTGACTTGTTTCAGTTGTTCCCGCCTACTCCATCTTCTTCCAGGTCAGGGGGTGTGTCTCAGAGAAAAGGAAACGAATTTTGCGGCGGTCAAACACTTGGCATTTGTACTTGGGCCTTTAAATCTTCCTAGAGTCTATACTCACGCCAGGATCTCTTCTTTTGGAAATCATTTGGTCTATGGCTTCACTACCTCATTATTCCTTTTGTTGTGGAACTTCTGGAAACTGAAAACAGGATAGATAGAACTGCAGTAAAAACATCAAAGCTCAAGTTAAAGGAGAGTGTTTTTTTTTTTTTTTCTTACAAAATAGACTTCCCAGACCAATAATTTTGATCCCAACACCACGACCTCTTTTGATCTTCCATTTAGCAATTCTAACAGTCATGGAGAAGCGCCTGCAGGAGGCTCAGCTATTCAAGGAGGAAGGGAACCAGCGCTACCGGGAAGGGAAGTACCGAGATGCTGTGAGTCGGTACCATCGAGCTCTTCTCCAGCTGCGAGGTCTGGATCCAAGTCTGCCTTCCCCGATACCCAATCTAGGACCTGAGGGCCCAGCTCTCACGCCAGAGCAAGAAAACATACTGCACACCACCCAGACAGACTGCTACAACAACCTAGCGGGTAAGAGTGGGGGGGGGGGCAGGAGGGGGGGGGGGGCATCAAGACTTGCAGACCGAACAAGGGCATTGGTGGCGCACGCCTTTAGTCTCAGCACTCAGGAGGCAGAGGCAGGTGATATTGTGAGTTCGAGGCCAGCCTGGTCTACAAAGTGAATTCCGGGACAACCAGGGCTACACAGAGAAGCCCTGTCTCAATAAACAAGGTGAAACAAACAAAAAAGACAGCGCCATCGAGCCCTTTGAATACTACAATCTTCGCTGTCATCTGATTATTGGGCAATGAATTGAAATCTGTTTCCAATCTGTAGAGAGCTCTTAAGCAGGCAGAATTTTTCAAACCTAACTTAGAGTTTGTGAAAATACAACTTCCTAGGCCCTAACTCCAGAAACTTTGATCTAGTGCATCTAGGGTGGTACGGCCAGTGGATTTATCTGGAGGAATGTTGCTAACTTTAGAACATTTTTCCTTCTGTAGAAAAAAAGTGCCTTTGTCTAAAGGAAATTTAACATTTGGGAAACAAGTTACTGGCTCTAGATACTGTAGATTACTTGTGCTTGATTGTATTTTTTTTTTTTTTTTAAAAAAAAAAAAAAAATCAATAATAAAAAAATTATTTTTTTTTTCTAAAATTTTTTTTTTTTTTTTAAAAAAAAAAAAAAAATCAATAATAAAAAAATTATTTTTTTTTTCTAAAATTTTTTTTTTTTTTTTAAAAAAAAAAAAAAAATCAATAATAAAAAAATTATTTTTTTTTTCTAAAATTTTTTTTTTTTTTTTAAAAAAAAAAAAAAAATCAATAATAAAAAAATTATTTTTTTTTTCTAAAATTTTTTTTTTTTTTTTAAAAAAAAAAAAAAAATCAATAATAAAAAAATTATTTTTTTTTTCTAAAATTTTTTTTTTTTTTTTAAAAAAAAAAAAAAAATCAATAATAAAAAAATTATTTTTTTTTTCTAAAATTTTTTTTTTTTTTTTAAAAAAAAAAAAAAAATCAATAATAAAAAAATTATTTTTTTTTTCTAAAATTTTTTTTTTTTTTTTGTAGAAATCAAGGACATTGGATAAGTAGTATCTTCCATTTCCAGATGGCTTTGTATGAAGATAGAACAGTTCTGCTAGGATTAACCTAATTGACAAGAGACCTTTTATTCTTTTCTATGGTAGACAAATCAAGCTTAGAACTAATTAACTTAACTTACAGTATAGTAAAGGCATTATAACAGTGCAAACTGAGGCTATATATATATTATCAAGAGCTTTTATATTTCATACTGGTTGCTTTTTAAAGTTATTTTTGTTTTTCTTGAGACGCAGTATGTAGCCCAACCTGGTCTGAAACTCACTTTGTAGACCAAGCTGGCTCCAAACTCCTGGCAGTTTTTATGCCGCTGGCTCACAAGTGCTGATGTTATAGGTGCCAGCCACGGCATCTGGCTGTTTATTTTAAAAATATTTTTGTGATCTCTGCGAGTTTGAGGCCAGCTTGGTCTACACAGCAAGTACCAGAAGAGCCAGAGCTTCATAGAGAGATCCCATCTCAAACAAACAAACAAACAAGCAATGATATATATATATATATACATATATATATATATTATAGAGCACTCTTTAACTTTATTTGTATAAACTTAAATATGTATATACAGGCAGACACACATATTGCATGTGTACATATGGTGTTGGAGTGGAGCTGTGGAACTCAGGGCCTTGCACATACTAACCAAAAGCTGTGTCACTAGCCTGCAATATCAGCATTAAGAATTTTTGAAATTACAATACTTATTAGTTATGATAAAAGTTAGTGATATTTTTTTCCAGTGTGTCCAGCAATACTTTTGGACTTGAATAATAGTTATTATGGTAGTGTTTTATTTGTTTTTGTAACAAGGTCTGTGTAGCTCAGATGGCCTCAACCATGCCTGCCTCTGCCTGCAGAGTGCTGGGACTAAAGGTGTGCATAGCCGGTCCCCTCAGAAGAGCTGCTTTAACTCACCTCTAATTAACAGTTATTAAATGCTGAGGATTAGCGGTATAACACTACAGATAACAATCCCTATATTCAAGCCAGGCGTAGGTGGCGCACGCCTTTAATCCTAGCACTCAGGAGGCAGAGGCAGGCAGATCTCTGTGAGTTCGAGGCCAGCCTGGTCTCTAGAGCAAGTGCCAGGATAGGCTCCAAAGCCACAGAGAAACCCTGTTTGGAAAAACAAAAACAAACAACAACAACAAAAAAATCCCTATATTCATGAAACAAAGAAGATAACACCATATACCAGACGGTAAGTGCTCCGAAAGCAATTAAGTGAGATGGCCTGGTGCTTTACACCTGTAATCCCAGCTGTGCCACTAACCTACAATATCAGCACTAAACGTTTTTAATCTGAGGTCCACGTTAGCCTGGAATGTATGGTAAGACCCTGCCTCAAACAAATAAGAATAAATGGAAAATGGAAATAGATACAGTCCTGGGACGTTCCATTTGAGAAAGGCTGGCTACATAGGATTCATAGATGTGACATTTATAACATGTGATGACCAGTGCTGCTTAGGTCAATACACATTGATCTATGTTAAGTGTCACAACAGTTCTTCCAGATTAATCTAAGGAAACTACAACTAATCTAGCAACAAGTGTATTTAAAATTATATCCAGGCAAACAGTCTTAATTCCCAAGGCATAAATTTTTTTTAATTTATTTATTATATGTACAACATTCTGCCTCCATGTATATCTGCACACCAGAAGAGGGCACCAGATCTCATAACGGATGGTTGTGAGCCACCATGTGGTTGCTGGGAATTGAACTCAGGACCTCTGGAAGAGCAGTCAGCGCTCTTAACCTCTGAGCCTTCTCTCCAGCCCCAATAAATAATTTTTTTTTTTACTAAATTAACAGTATTCATTTATTAGATGCCCATGATATATTTGACAGTTTATTTACAACTTTTCTCATCCTTACCGTCTTTAATTTTGATAGATACGTCATAATAATCCTCATTTTTATAGATAAAGAAGGCAAATAATGTCCCTACCCAAAACTCTCAGTGTCTACCTGGCACATTTAAGAGAACACCCAGTCTGGCCTTTGCCTAGCTCCTGACTCCTCCATATCTGCAACTCTTGTAGCACACTCCACCTAACAGACTTGGAAGCTCTCTTCTCAGCTGCAAGCATTCTGTGGCTTAAGTAGACCTCCAGCTGGGTATAATGGTGCGATGCCTTTATCCCAATACTCAGGAGTCAGAGGCAGGTGGATCTCTGTGAGTTCAAGGCCAGCCTGGTCTACAGAGTGAGTTCCAGGTCCACCAGGGCTACACAGAGAAACCTTATCTCAAAAAACAAAAATAAATAAATAAAATTTACTTTCTTAGAGAAGCCTTCAGTAACCAAGCAACAGTTTAACTTCATTCATTCTCAAGTAGTTTGCTTTTCTTCAAATTATCTTTAAATTTTCATTTGTTTGTATATTCCTCCCACTTAGGGAGGCCCTGGCATTATTTAATCATTGCTTGATCTCAGTTGCTGCCCCTGTGGGGATCAGTCAAGCTTTATATCCTAGAGTATTTTCCCTAAGCTGCTAAAATCCTAACTCATAGCTGGGGCCCAAAGGTGGAGTGTTACAATAGGATTTAGTGCTTTGTATCTGTATCATTTACTAAGCTGTTAAACTCAGATCCTTCTGTACATTCAAAGATCTCTGCCTTCTAAAGTCTGTAAAAGGAATTTACACCTAGTGGTGCTGGCATATGCCTTTAATCCCAGCACTCAGCAGGCAGAGGCAGTCAGATCTCTGTGAGTTCTGAGGTCTGCCTGGTCAACAAGAGCCAGGACTGTTACACAGAGAAACCCTGTCTTGAAAAACCAAAAAAAAAAAAAGAAAGAAAGAAAAGAAAAAGAAAGAAAGAAAAAAAGAAAGAAAAGCAACAACTCTTCTTTAAGGCAGAACACTGTCTTGAACATTGCTTCCTAACCAAGATTTATTCTGGGTTCCATTAGTCAGCCAAGAGAATAGTGAATTAATGTCATGTCTTTGGAAATGAGGTTGACATGGTGACACAACTGCAATCCCAGTGCTTGGAAGCCTGAGGCAGCGGGAACAACTGTAGTTTGAGGCCATCCTGGGCTACAGACTGTTTCAGAACTTCCTGAGCTACAAAGTGAGAACTTGACTGTCTTAGTGTTCTATTATTGTGAAGAGACACCATGACCACCACAACTCTTTTTTTTTAATATTTTTTTTTAAAAAAAAAGTTTATTTTGTGTGCATTGGTGTTTTGCCTGCATGTAAGTGTGTGTGAGGGCAGTAGATACTGGAGTTACAGACAGTTGTAAGCTGCCATGTCGGTGCTGGGAATTGAACAGAGAGGTGCCCTTAACCACTGAGCCATGTCTCCAGCCCCCACCACAACTCTTACAAGGGAAGCATTTTATTGGGGGCTGTCTTACATTTTCAGAGGTTTAGTCCATTATCATGATGTCGGGCATAGTGACATGCAGGAGACAGGGTGCTGGGAAGTAACTGAGAGTTCTATTTTTGGATCTGAAGGCAGAGGGAAAAGAGGGAGCCACTGAGCCTGGTTTAGGCTTTTGAATCCTCAGACCCTACCCCACAGCGACACACTCCCTCCAATAAGACCACTGTAGATTGAAGTTTTTGTCCCACCCAGTCCTGTAGCCATTCGGTCCCAAATAAACACACAGAGGCTTCTATTAATTATAAACTATTTGGCCTATTGCTCAGGCTTAGTACTAACTTACAACTTAAATTAACCCACAATTCTTGTCTATGTTTAGCCACATGGCTTGGTACCTTTTTTCGGTAAGGCATTCTCATCTTGCTTCCTCTGCTTCTGGCTGGCAACTACGTCTCTGCCTTTCCTGTTTCCAGAATTCTCCTAGTCTGGTCACTCCACCTATACTTCCTACCTGGCTACTGGCCACTCAGCATTTTATTAAACCAATATGAGTGACAAATCTTTACAGTGTACAAGAGCATTATCCCACAGCAGACCACACCTCCTAATCCTTTCAAATAGTGACACTCCCTAAGCATTTAAATAGATGAACCTGTGCGGGCGGTTCTTGTTCAAACCACCACACTGACTCAACAAAACCAAAGCCTGGGTGTGTTGATGCATGCCTACAATTCTACTGGCTGGGAATGGGGGAGCAAGATCATCCCCCTCCAGTATGTAATGAATCCAGAGCCAACTGAAGCTATGTGAGATCCACCTCACCCCCATGTGAGAACACTGAGAAAAATGACAGAACATGGTTCAGATTTCATGCTCATTCTCCTTACAAGCTCTGAGATCTTGGGCAAGTTTTGCTCATCTGAGCCTGGATCTTTTTTTTTTTTCATCCATTAATTGGAGACTGACACTGATTTTGTACTGTGGGTGAAAAGATAGGATATATTCAACATAGCTTGTTCCTTCCTCACATAATGGCAAGCATTAACAATGCTGCAGTGTAAGAGTGTGATGAGACCAAGAAGTGAGGGCAGAGCACTGGGTAGAAAAGCTACAACGAGTTTTACCAGATCCCCAGCACCAAAGGGAGGAGAGAAAGAGGGTAGGGGAGACTGTGAGAGTCGGTCTCCTATAGTAGCCTAGACTGGCCTTGAATTCCCTGTGTAGTCAAGTGTTAGTCACTGCTCCACTGATGTGAAAAGATGCTGTGACCAAGCCGGGCGTTGGTGGCGCACGCCTTTAATCCCAGCACTCGGGAGGCAGAGGCAGGCGGATCTCTGTGAATTCTAGACCAGCCTGGTCTACAGAGCTAGTTCCAGGACAGCCTCCAAAGCCATAGAGAAACCGGTCTCGAAAAACAAAAACAAAAACAAAACAGAAAAAAAAAAAGACATTGTGACCAAGATAATTCCCTTTTTTTTTTTTTTTTTTTTTTTTTTTTTTTTTTTTTTTTGTATGTTTGTTTGTTCAAGAACAGGGTTTCTCTGTGTAACAGCCCTGGCTGTCCTGGAACTTGCTTTGTAGACCAGGCTAGCCTCTAACTCACAGAGATCCACCTGTTTTCTACTTCCCAAGTATTGGGATCAGAGGTGTGCACCAACACTGCCCATGGTGACAAGGTAATTCTTACAAAGGAAAGCATCTAATTGGAGGCTTGCTTAGTCCATTATCATTATGGCAAGGAGCATGGTGGCCTGCATGGCATTGAAGTACTAGCTGAGGGCTACATCCTGATCCCATGGGCCTGTAAGAAAAAAGAGAATTGGGCCTGGCATGTGCTTTTTTTTTTTTTTTTTTAAGATTTTATTTATTTATTATGTATACAACATTCTGCTTCCATGTATATCTGCACACCAGAAGAGGGCACCAGATCTCATAAGGGATGGTTGTAAGCCACCATGTGGTTGCTGGGAATTGAACTCAGGACCTCTGGAAGAGCAGTCAGTGCTCTTAACCTCTGAGCCATCTCTCCAGCCCCCATGGCATAGGCTTTTTTTGTTGTTGTTGTTTTGTTTTGTTTTGTTTTGTTTTTTTGTTTTTCGAGGAGACAGGGTTTCCCTGTGGCTTTGGAACCTGTCCTGGAACTAGGTCTTGTAGACCAGGCTGGCCTCAAACTCACAGAGATCCGCCTGCCTCTGCCTCCCGAGTGCTGGGATTAAAGGGCGTGCGCCACCAACGCTCGGCCTGGCATGGGCTTTTAAAACTTCAGAGTCCACACCCAGTGACAAACTTCCTCCAACAAGGTCACACCCTCCTGATCCTTCTCAAATAGTGCTACTCTCTGGCGACTAAGCATTTACATAAATCCACTACACTGAGGATGATCTTGGGTTCCTCCTTCTCCTGCCTCTAACTTCCAAATGTTGGGATTATAGAAGTGTACTGCCATGCCATGCTTGAGAGAGTTTTGAATAAAAAATGTAAAGTATGGAGCCCGGAGAGATGGCTTACCAGTTAAAAGTGTTTGCTGCTCTTGTAGAGGACTTGGTTTTGGTTCAGGACCCATATAGCAGCTCATAGTCAGCTGTAACTCTAGTTCCAGGGCATCTGATTCCTCTTATGACCACTTTGGGCTCCTGCATGCATATGATACACATATATACACACACATAAAATGAAATAAATAAGCTTTATGTATTTATTATGTGTGTTCAAGCATGACATTGTACACATGTTGAGAATGTCAGAAGAAAACTTGTGGAGTCAGTTCTTTCCTTCCCAGGAATCAAACACAAGTCTTCAAGCTTGGTGGCAAGAGCCTTTACCCACTGAGCCAGCTTGTCAGTCAAAATTTTATCTCTCCAGTTCCTAGATGAGGGTATGGATATGGGAGATACTTCAGCATTAGTTGAATAAAATGATTATTGGGGAATGCCTTGAACTGGCCAGTGGAATCTCCTATAAGCCCTCCTTCTCTCTCCCTTTAACTTGATCCATTAGCCTGTCTCCTCCAGATGGAGCCAGTGAACTACGAACGAGTAAGGGAATACAGTCAGAAAGTCCTAGAACGACAACCTGATAATGCCAAGGCCTTGTATCGGGCAGGAGTAGCCTTCTTCCATCTGCAGGACTATGACCAGGCTCGGCACTACCTGCTAGCTGCTATCAATAGGCAGCCTAAAGGTGAGTGAGAGGGACAGTAAGGTGGTGAGCATATTTAAAATTGTTCTGTTGTTGGTATAAAGAAATGATAAGGGTTTAAGGAGATGACAGCGCTAATTGCTGTGGTCTGATATTGCACACTGTATACATCATGTATTGAATTATATGCCCTATACCTGTTAATATGTACAGCTATTACAAATCAACAGGAAAATACTCACAAAGCTCTGGGTTCAATCCCCAGCATTGCATAAAAGCATATGTAGTGGTGCACATGTCTGTAATCCCAGCACATGGCAAGTAGGAACAAGAGGATCAGAGATCAAGATTATCTTTAGTTAACATAGTGTCTGAAGATGATCTGGGCTACATGAGACCCTGTCTCAAAACAAAACTGTTTCATGCTGGGCAGTGGTGACACACACCTTTAATCTCTGCACTCAGGTATCAGAGGCAGGTGGATCTCTGTGAGTTCAAGGCCAGCCTAATCTACAGAGCGAGTTCCAGAACAGCCAAGGCTACACAGAGAAATTCTTTCTTGAAGAACAAATAAGAAACCTGTCCCATTGAAGTGGTTCCCATGGAAAGGAAATTTTAGTTTATTTAGTGTTTTCAGTTTACTCCCCTAATTCCCCTTTTGTTTTTCAAGACAGAGTTTCTTTGTGTAGCTTTGGAGCCTGACCTAGAACTACCTCTTGTAGACCAGGCCTCTGCCTCTGCCTCCCAAGTGCTGGGATTAAGGCGTGTGCCACCACCATCCAGCTTCAGTTTACTTTTTTAAAGACCTTTTGTTTTTAAGTATACCAGTGTTTTACATGTATATGGCTTACTTCTTTGTTGATATGTGAACCTGGGAGAGTGGGCCTAAAAATGAGGTGGACTAAAGTCTCATACAATAGCTAACTTTATTCAGAGTATCAGGCAATTTATACTCTGAGGGTTAAGAAGAACCACATGAATAAAATGTTCAATCACAAGGAGAAGCAAAAACATATTTTTCCATAGAGGCATATAAAGAAGTAACAATAGCCAACTGTAATGAATAATCTGAAGTAAACTCATACCTGGGAGGGGCAAGAAAGCACATTCCAAGAACAATTCCATGTTTTAGAAGAATTGAGCTCACACCACTCTGTTCTTGGACTGTGTTCCAATAGCATACTTGTGCACCACACATCTGCCTGGTGCCTTTGGACCTGAAGAGGCAGTCATTAGGTCTTCTGAAAGTAGAATTACAGCCTGTAGCAAGACCCTGTGTGTGCCAGAACTGAACCCATGTCCTCTGCAGGAACAGCAAGTGTTCTTAACAGCTGAGCCACCTCTTCAGCCCATTTTTAACTTTTTAGAAATAGATACTATAAGCCAGATAAAAATCCCAGGAGGAAGTGGGGAAGGTGGTCATGAAATTCCTGGCTGAGGCACACACCTTTGATCTAAGCACTCTGAAGGCAGAGGCAGGAGGATCTCTGAGTTTGAGGCCAGCCTGGTCTATAGAATGAGTTCCAGGACAGCCAGGACTATACAGAGAAACCCTGTCTCAAAAAAACATAAAAAGAAAAGAAATTCCTGCTTAAGGAGCTATTGGCATTTGATAGCTGTTAGGGGAGGGGGAGTTAGTTTTCTTTAATGATGTGACCCCCCTTTGTAGGTCACCAACACTCTAGAGCAGGCCACATTCTGAAGAGTAGCTGAGCAACACAAACTAGACTAGATAGGGTTGGGAGAAGGTGGGAAAAAAACTTAACCCTGGGTACTAAGGAAGTTGGGGAAGATGGGTTTGAAGGGAGCTGGAAAGGAGGTGAATATGATTAAAATACATTGTGAAATTCTTAAAGACTTAATAAATTATTATTTAAAAAAAGAGACCTTTGATATATTTAAGAAAGGGAGCTGGGTGGTGGTGGCTCCCAAATTTAATCCCAGCAGTCAGGAGGCAAAGCCAGGAGGATCTCTGTGAGTTCAAGGCCAGCCTGGTCTACAGAGCGAGTTCCAGGACAGCCTCCAAAGCCACAGAGAAACCATGCCTTGAAACCCCCCCCAAAAAAAGGAAATGCACAAAACATGCACATGAACAGATTTTCCACTTCTGTGGCATTTTTGAGGGCTTTGTTTTTGTTTTTTGTTTATTTTGTGTGTGGGGAGGGGGGGGGATTGGGATATTTGCGGGCCACAGCCATGTAGAGTCCAGAGGACAGCCTATGGAAGCTGCTTCTCTCCTTCCACCATGTGGGTTCTGGGAATAGACTCCCTCTGCTTGTCAGCCTGGCTGGACAGCAAGTACCTTTACCTACTGGAACATTTTGCTGGTCTGTAGTTTTGTTCTTTTGAGACAGTGTTGTCCTTTGTAACCCAGGGTGGCCTGTATCTGCATCTCTAGCGCCAGCCTCCCTGAGGAATGGTACGATAGGAGTTTACCGCCTCATCAATAGTACTCCTCTGTTCCTGTTTCTACGGGGAAGCAACTGTTAGTTCTGTTTGTATCCTTAGGAGTATTTATGCTTAAACAGGCATAAGTGTGCATGTTCCCTGTGCCAGCTCTGTAAGTCAATGGTATACCTATTCCTGTTTCTGTTTCTATTGCTGTGCTGTAGATCCAACTCAGGCCTTTGCCTACCCTGAAGATGCTCTAGCCCTGTGACATCCCTGTCAGTTTACTCTGTGGATGGCAAAGGGCACCCTCCCCACTTCTCTGTTTTACTGCTGGGAACCATACTCAACATTGTACCTACTAAGTGCTATGCCCATGTAGTTGGAATTTTCACTGGGCTACCAACCGGCTCCCAAATAAGGACATGGAGACTTATTATTAATTATGAATGCTTGGCCTTAGCTTAGGCTTGTCCCACTAGCTCTTTTAACTTAACCTGTTTCTATTCATTGACATTTTTCCTTGGGGCTTTTGTCCTATTTTCCTGCTTCCTCATGTCTGGCTGGCTGGCCCCTGCCATCTCTTTCTTCTTCCAAGGTTAAATGCGTCCTTCTACTTACTCTCCCTGCCCAGAAGTCCTGCATATACCTCCTCCCTCGCTATTGGCAGTTCAGCTTTTTATTAGACCAATCAAATGCCTTAGCAGGCAAGGTAAAACATCTTTACATAATTATAAACAAATGCAACACTTTATATAGTTAAACAAATATTCTACAACATAAACAAATGCAACCCATCTTTACAACGTTAAACGAAATACAATACATCTTTGCATAGATAAACATTCTGCAACAATACCCATGTCCTTATCAACTTAAATCAATTTATTTATTTTGGTGTTTTATGGGCAGAATTTCACTATATACCCCTGACCAGCTTGGAGTTCTATCTATTGCCCAAGCTGCCATTGAACTTGTAATTCACCTGCCTTGACCTTCTCAGTACTCAGATAGGTGTGTGTCACTATAATGGGGATTTTAGGAACTTTTTTCTTTTCTTCTCTTTTTTTTTTTTAAAGATTTTTGGAGACAGTGTCTCATGTAGCTCAGGCTCATCTCAAACTCAATTTGTAGCACTGGCTGTCCTTGAACTTTTAATCCCTTCCCCTCTATTTCCCAAGTGTTGATGTTTCCTGTATGTGCCACAGTACCCAGCTTAGGAACTTTGTTTTAAAGTCCCTACCTTTTAAAGAGTATGTTAGTGGATCCCAGTGAATGGACTTGATCATAGTTATTCAGCCTGCTCTCCAGATAGAAGCTGGCCTTTTCTTTAGCTATTACCTTTTCTTTTAGCTCAGCTAACTCCAGGTGTGACCTAGAAAAAGAAGCCACTGACTGGGAGAATTTCAGATTTGGCACTGGGTTTTCAGGACAGAAAGGAAACTGTGTAGCAGATGGCAGGTTCATTTCTGTGTTGGTTGGTTTAGCACTGAATATTGTATCTCCCTTTTTTTTTCTTTTATTTGTTTGTTTATTGTTTTTGTTTCTCAAAACAGGGTTTCTCTGTGTAAACCTGGCTGTCCTGAAACTTGTTCTGTAGACCAGGCTGACCTTGAACTCACTACCTCTGCCTCCCAAGTACTGGGATTAAAGGCATGCACCACCCCTGCCTTGCCTTTTTTTTTTTTCCTTCATTTTTGACAGGGTCTCTCTACATGGTTCTGGCTGTCCTGGAGCTCATTAGCACTCGGGAGGCAGAGGCAGGTGAATCTCTTGAGTTTGAGGCTAGCCTGGTGTACAGAGTGAGTTCCAGGACAGCCAGGGCTGTTACACAAACTCTGTCTTGAAAAAATCAAAATAGCCAGGTGAGTTCCAGGACAGCCAGGGCTGTTACACAAACTCTGTCTTGAAAAAAACAAAATAGCCAGGCACGCCTTTAGTCCCAGCATTCAGGAGGCAGAGGCAGGTGAATCTCTTGAGTTTGAGGCTAGCCTGGTTTACAGAGTGAGTTCCAGGACAGCCAGGGCTGTTACACAAACTCTGTCTTGAAAAAATCAAAATAGCCAGGCACGCCTTTAGTCCCAGCATTCAGGAGGCAGAGGCAGGTGAATCTCTTGAGTTTGAGGCTAGCCTGGTTTACAGAGTGAGTTCCAGGACAGCCAGGGCTGTTACACAAACTCTGTCTTGAAAAAATCAAAATAGCCAGGCACGCCTTTAGTCCCAGCACTCAGGAGACAGAGGCAGGCAAATCTCTGAGTTCAAGGCCAGTCTGGTCTACAGAATGAGTTTCAGGAAGCCAAGTCTATTACACAGAGAAACCCTATCTTGAGCCCTGCCCCCTCAAAAAAAAAAATAATTCACAGTAATATATTAAGTGATAGAACTTATTGCATGGAATAATTGTGATGCGTTCAGATTTTGGAGAGAACTAAAGTAACTGGGAATGTTAACAGTGCTGTCTGGTCTATTGGGACATTATGGTCTGTCTGTAATTGCCTTCTTCATTGTCTTTGAAGATGCCAATGTCCGGCGGTATCTTCAGTTGACACAGTCAGAACTCAGCAGCTATCATAGAAAAGAGAAGCAGCTGTATCTGGGCATGTTTGGTTAAGGAAGAAAAAAGATGCTTCTTCACTTGAACTCAAGTGGACCGCTAAAGACCCATCAAGAGAAACCTGAGCCTCAGCAAGAGAAATTTACCCTTTACCTCTGACCCAGGTGGATTTCTACTTTTCCTGTTCTGCACAAGCTCTTTGCTACTTAGACTGTCTGCATCTTTTGTTGTTTATCCCCCAGTATATTTGTATGGCTTGCAATTCATATATTTGCCTTGAGAAATAGACTAGAAAGCATTCATCCACTATGGGTCTAATCAGCTATATTTGTGGTATCAATTTAATGAGATGTTATCAGATTTGTTCAGATACAGAGGGCCAGTAAAGGACAAAATAGTAAAAACGGGCAGAAAGGAATCTTGTGCTGGTTCCTCAGATGCCTTTGTTTTTCCCAATGGGAAATATATATTGTGAAACTAGATACTGTAAATTGAGCCCAAGTATATTTACATTAAAGATTTGAAATCAATCATTTTGGGGCTGAAGATGTAGCTCAGTGGTAGACTGCTTGCCTAACATGGGCAAGGCCCTGTTTTGATTCTCTAGTGCTGCCAAAATAACTAAACAATAAAATCAAACTGCTTTGTTATTTAATTTTTGTTTTGTTTTTTTACACAGGGTTTCTCTGTGTAGCCTTGGCTGTCCTAGAACTGTAGACCAGGCTGGCTTCATACAGAGATCCACCTGCTCTGCCTCCTGAGTTCTGGAATTAAAAAGGCATGCCGCCCAACCACTGCCGAGTTCTTTTCTGCTTTTTTTTTCTAGTCCTTGATTTTGCTTTTTCTGAAATCATTAACATATTATAACTTTTTTGTTTTTTTTTTTTTAATCTATTTCTTTTTTTTTTTTTTAAGATTTATTTTATTTATCATGTATACAGTGCATGCCAGAAGAGGGCACCAGATCACATTACAGATGGTGGTGAGCCACCATGTGGTTGCTGGGAATTGAACTCAGAACCTCTGGAAGAGCATTTGAGCCATCTCTCCAGCCCAACTTATATTTGTCTTTAACCTATTCTGCTTTAAAACTTCTGAAGTAAATGCTTGGAATACATGAAATCCTGTTTTTTGTTTATTTTTTGTTTGTTTTGTTTTGTTTTTGTAAAAAAAAATGCTTCTGGAGTTAAGCACTTAGGTAGCTAAAAGTATTTAATAACTCTATGTCCTCATGCCAAAAAGGAACCCAAGTGCTAATGAGCTTTTTCTGGGTGTGTATGTATGTGTGTTGTTGGAATTTGAACCTATCTTGCATATTCTAGGCAAGTACCCTATCATTGAGCTATGTAGTCAGTCCCAAAGTGGTGTTTGTTTTTGTATTTTGGACAAAGTTTCTCTGTGTAGCCCTGGCTGTCCATGTTTTAATTTTTAATAGATGCATTTCTGAAGTGTGTTCATTTTTCTGAAAGACATTATTGTGTCTTCTTGAAAGAATATAATAAAGCATGATAGAACCTAAGTCTCCTTTTCATTTGTCACTCTATTTTGTAAGAGCTCAGGACCTCACAAAGGAAGGAAACATAGTCTTGATAGGACCCTGGGGAAGCTGTGTTGCTCGTGGGTGCAGAATGCAGATCTAATACAGTCCTGCCTCTGTGGGGTTCATCAGCCAATGGCTGCTTTGTCATTCTGTTTACTCTGTGGATTGTGTCTATGTCATGGGTGCTAATTAGTGGCTAAGACCATGTAGCAGGTCTGTACCATTATAAGTGGAGATAATAAGCATGTCATTCATTAGCCATCATATAATCATAAAACAAGTATGTTTCTTGGGGTGGGATCAGTCTCTTTATTAATAACATCCCAAACTCTCCCAGTGCACTGTAGTTTAAATAATACATCCATCAAGGTACAACAGGTTTATTACTAAATAATCTAAAAAGTCCAAGGACAGAACTAAGTAAAGTAGAATATTTTCTTTATTGTACAAGCTTCTTAATTTAACATATACCTGTAATCTCAGGCTGAGGCAGGAGGATTGCTATGAGGCCAGTCTGGGCTATATACTGAATTTCAGACTAGATGGGGTTAGCTAACAAGATCATGTCTTAAAAACTCAAAAATAGATTGAAAAAAATTCCTATACTGGTTTGGCAAAATTTTGTCATGGTAAATGCTATCACAATTGGTGCCTCCCTTGACGTTTCTTCTTAGTAAATTTCCATGTACAAATGTCAGAGCTACTCCTCAGTTAGGCCCACTCTGTGTCCCACTGAAAAACCTGGTTGCTGTGGTCCCTACTGCCATGACTCTGCTCTTGAACGGTATGTATCATGATGCCTTTAAAGGTTAATTTAAAATCTTTGTCACCTTGCATGCTTTACTTTTTGTTTTTTGGCACAGGGTTTCTCTGTGTGGCTCTGGCTATCCTGGAACTCACTCTGGAGACCGGGCAGGCCTTGAACTCACAGAGATCCCCCTGCCTCTGCCTCCCGAGTGCTTTAATCCTGGCACATGTTTCACTTCTTTAGAGCCTGCTTTTGTTTCCCAGTTGTGCAGAGATTTGATACTCAAGTAATCTGTCCACTACATCAATGAGGAAAAAATAAAACTGATGTTCACAAATACAGCTTAGAAATTTATCATACTTATCATTTTCTTAGCCTTCCTAAGGGGTAACATTAACATGGTGGTCGGACTTATATGGCAGCTTTTATTTTGAAGTCCAATTCCCAACAGAGACTTTGAGGAACAGAAAAGGAGACAAAGGAAGGTAGCTTGACGAAGGTCTTGAATAGGTCTGACAAGCTTACATCTTGAGTCAGCACAGAGGGTCCCTAGACATTTGTGTTCCCAAGTTTGTGGAGGGAAGAGACTCCTTGCATTGCCAGGCTGTAAGCATTTCCAGTAAGATTTGAAGATTTTGAATGGAAAGCCTTTGTGATGGATGTGTATGATGATCACACATAAAGGGCAGTTTAAGACCGTATTTCCCAAACTGAGACCCTCCACCTTCATAGTTTGGCCTCAAGTTCTATTTGCATATTACCTGTATTAGTGTTTAGTCAACATGTGAAGGTCAAGGGTGTAGCTTTGTAGTAAAGCACTTGCCTAGCACCACTGCCCAAAATGATTTTAATATATTTTTAAGTTTTTTTTTTTTTGTTTCTTTGTATAGCTTTGGAGCCTGTCCTGGAACTTGCTCTGTAAACCAGGCTGGTCTCGAACTCACAGAGATCTGCCTGCCCCTGCCTCCTGAGTGCTGGGATTAAAGGCAAGCGCTGCCGCTGCCGCTGCCACCGCCACCACCTGGCATAAGCTATATTCTTTATACACTGGTTCTGCCCAGTCTAGCCCAATCTATTGAGCTCAAGTGGGCCTTCTGCCTAAGCCTTCCAAGTAGCTAGAATCACTGGCAAGTACCACTCTCCTTTAAAAATGGAGGTGTATTTATTTACTTATTTATGGGTTCTTTTTCTTTCTCCATCTGTTCTAGGAATGATCCAGGCTTTACACTAGGCACATAGTCTCATTCTGAATTAAACCCTGGCTCACTGACTCTTCATTAAGTATCGGCCCAAGGCTTTGACCTGACTATCCCAGTAGTGACTGTTACTCAGACTGTTTAGAGAATCTGTATCATTTCTGTAAGGACATTGCTCCTCACTATGAGGGACAGATATTCTAAGGCAACATATTTTTTTCAACCCATCCCCCCATACTTTTTTAAGTGAGAAATCAAAACCTATAAAAATCACTGTTTTGAATGGAACTGGTTCTTACAGGCATTTTGATATTTGCTATAGGAAGACTGGAAAAGATGCTACACTCACCTAGAATAGCTTTTACTATTTTTATCTATGTTTTGCTCTTTTTTGGAGTAATTAAGGCAATAATACATTTGCACAAATAAAATTGGAAGATAAGCAGTTACTCTAATATAAGCAATGTGAGCCAGACCTGGCTGTACATCCAGTACTGATAAGGCGTAGGTGGAAGATCTAGAGTTTTAGGCTAGTCTGTTGTACAAAGCAAGACCCTGTCTCAAAGACCGAGGAGGCAGGCATAGTTGTATACTCCTATAACATCAGAACCTGGGGGTGAAGGCAAGTGGATGAGGAAGGAGGGCAAAGTCATCCCCAGCTACTTAGCAAGTTCATGATCAGACTGGGCTACAAGAGACCCTGTCTCCATAAACAGAAGGCAGGAAGAAAGGGAGGGAGGAAAAGGAGTGTGGCAAGTATACAATTTATTCTCCATTATGGGGAAGATGGGGTCTTCCTTTTTCACTCATATTAGCCCTCTTCAACTGCCATGTAGCTAGGACTATAGGTAGCTGCCATTGTACTTGAACACAGCTTTAGAATTTTCTCAGCAGCAAAACAAAATAAAAAATCAACTCTTGCTTCCCATAATGCCCCATCAAGAGAGCTTTCTTTGGCAAAAACTTCATTGTTAGCTCAGTCTTCTATCTCAAAAACAGCAGTCACTCAGTGTGACAGAGACCCCAGAGGAGGGCAAAGAAGTCAAGGAAGCCTGCTTTTATTTTGACCTTTTTCACTTTTCCTTCCTGCCTGATTTGCATTTAGGTCCATGCATGCCAAGAGAGGATGTTTGTAGGGCACCACAGCCTGGAAAGTTATTTCATTTACATTGAGCTCTTTCCCCACATCCCATCTCAACACTTCAAGCTCTCATTTTTAGTCTCTAATACCAGTAACTACCTATATAACTTTAGTGAGTACTTTAAGCTTTTTAGGCTGCTGTTATCACAATTTTACTTTCTTTTTGAAGTGCAAGGGGTCAAACCTTGGGTCTCAGGCTAGGTAAGCTATCTGTCCCCAGCCCCACACTTTGGAAGTAAAGGTCTAAGATTAGAGGATTATAAAATCCTCATGGGGTTTCCTGCTTTAGCTTTCCTAAGCAGCTGTCATTTCAATACCTCCTCAGGTTCTTAGCTCCCCTAAAAGTCCCGCTCCATAGGGCACACTATTTTCTCTCACCAGTTTCTTATGTTCAGACACCTCAATTCCAACTCACAAAATGGCAAAAATGTCAAGTTGCAGCATCTGTTGTCAAAACACCCAATAAAGGTCTTCCCAGGTCCAACAATGAAGAGGAGACGAAGTAAGGGAACAAAGCCACATTCTCAAAAGAATAAGAAAACCTTTAGGGTTGAAGAGGTGGCTCAGCAGTTATGATCACCTGCTGTTCTTCAAGAGGACCCAGGTTCAATCCTCAGCACCCACATAGTGGTTCACAACCATCCATAACTCCAGTTCCAGAGAATCCAATGCCCTCTTGTGGCCTTAGCAGATAACAGGCATGCATGTGGTACACAGACATACATGTAGCCGAAAGCCATACACATAAAATAAATTTTTTGTTTTGCTTTTAGAAACAGGGTTTCTCTGTGTAGCCCTGGCTGTCTTGGAACTCAGAGATCTGCCTCTGCTTCCTAGTGCTGGGATTAACGGCATGAGCCACCACTTCATGGCAAATAAACAAATCTTTTAAAAAAAGAAGAAAGAAATCAGCTTCTAGTTGTTGGTTAACTACCTGCTTTGAACATTATGAACCGGTATGGTTCTGTGATGCATATTAACTGGAGTCATGAACCATGTTCAAATTCCAGCTTTCTCCTTACCCAGCTCTATGACCCTCAACAAATGAATGAGTCCTGAATCTGAAGTTTCTTTGTATTTGGTATGGGGGTGGGGCTAATACTCCTATGAAGTTGAGAATTAAATGAGTATACAAAGTGCCCAATACAGCCCAGAACACACAAGTTCAACTACAGCAAACCATGTGTCAGATTCCCTGTTTGTATTCATCTCCTGCATAAGTCTATGCTGCCCTCTCCCCGTTTCACTTTTTGCTCATAAGCAAACAGACCCACAGGCTTACCCAATGCACGTGTCAAATAAAAGAACTAGCGGGCAGACATGAATGCATACAGACTTGTGGAAGAAACCAGCCAACACCAGTTCAAAGGGATAATTTCACTGCTAGTTTTATGTTCCAGAATGTGGAGTGAGAAGCAGTTACACCTCAGGAAAATTCCCAATGCCCTTGAAGAATCCTGGCTGACCTGCTCTGCCTCTTAATCTCCTGCTTATCTGGCTGGACAAAGAAAAGGGTACAGACACCTTCAGCTTGGGAAGAACCTTCATTCTGCCAACCCGTAGGAATGACGAGATGCCTCCAGCCTTCTCTGTGGCCATCTAACAATAGTAAGAGCAAGCCTGGCATCAGTTCATGCTCCCCAGATATTAATTTTTGGGACCAAGTACAAAATCTTTGGGTGGTCCTCCACCACCAGTGCTCTGTCTCTCTGTTGTCTGGGAGCCAGAGAGGGGCTGCACTCCTAGAATGGAGCTAGCTTCTGGGTCTGGTTTGCTTCGTTTGGCCAGGTCCTCATTGTGAGCCTTTCGGATGTGGCGGTAGAGGTCCCCTGACTGCGTGTAGCTGCGCAGGCAATAGCGGCATTCATAGGGCCGCTCTCGTGTGTGCACTGTGGCGTGTCGTCGTAGTGTATAAGAACAGGAGAAGGTCTTTCCACATGTCTTGCAGGTGGGGACATCCTCTGTAAAAGCCCCAAAGTTCCCCGGAGCTGCTTCGTACTCAGCAGGAGGGTAAAGTGGCTCAAGCAGGGCTGGTGGTGCAGGCAGGGGTGAGGTCACCAGCCCTCGATGGTATTGCCCTGAACCTGGAAGCAGATGGTATGGTAGATGAGATTCTGGAGGCAGGAAGTGGTCACTTGGCCCCACCTCCTCTAGTCCTGTTGCCCCTGGCTCCTCAAAAGTGTCTAGCTGTGAAGGCTGTCCCCCATACATTGCACCTCCAGATGGGAACAGTCCTTCAGGTCCCTGAGGCTGTTCCTCTGAAAGGTCAGTCTCCTCATCAGAGATCACAATAGCTTCTACTTTCACCTGGACCAGTTCAGCTTCAGCTGGGGCTGGAGCCTGGGATAGAACTGGGGCTGGAGCTGGGGGCGGGGCTGGGGCTGGAGGATAGAAGCCTTGCAAAGGTCCTACAGTATCCCTTGGTTCCACCACCCTCAGACTCTCAGGAACCATGTCAAGAGGAGTCAAGGGCTCCACTGAAACTGCTGCAAGGCCAGAGGAGAAGTAGTTTACAGGAATGGTCTCTGTAGAGCTACTAGGGCTGGCAAGAGAGGCAGAGACGTCAGCCACTGGTTGGGGAGGTGCCCGCAGACGTGGTGAGTCAACTTCCATGCTAGGTTGTGTAGTGTCAACACCACCAGACCCTGCTGGCTCATCTGCAGAATGAGCAATAGGTAAGGGAGTGGCTGGACCCTTCCATTCCTCTTTGCTCCAGCGGGCTGACGGCTCAACAGATGCCAGTAAAGGCTGGGGGCCACGAGAACTGCCTGACAAAAACTCCATACTAGCAGGATTGTTCTCTTCCTTTTTGGTACTGTCTGCCTCTGCCAGAGCCCGGGCTTGCAACCGTTGTTTACACACCTTAACGATGTCATTCATGTGCAAGTAGCTGGCTGCTGCTAGCACGTCTTCTAAAGGGGTATCCCCCCTAAGGGCCAGCTGGCCAGCATACATAAAGTCCAGAAGCAACCCAAAGGCTGGGGCCGTGACAATCTCATTGTGAATACACACCAGATCCCTCTTGTCCAATTCCCGTTCCTTGTAGAAAAGCTGAAAGAATGGGCTGCAGGATGCCAGCACAGCCCGATGGGCCAAGAACTGGGCACTAGCATCCATCACAGTGCAGTCACAAAGGAAACCCTGAGACCGTTGCTCCCGCAGGCTCTGAAGCAGCTGCTGACTGTGTTCTGGGAACTCCATAGCACCCCAAGAAGGGAAGGGTGCCCAAGAAAGTTCCCCAACAGTGGCTCCCTGGGAAGAAAGGACAGTGAATTAGGGCAGGTAACTTCCACACGAACCTCCACATCCAGGGTTTGCCACCCAAGGCCTCTAGCAACATATTACCCCCCCCCACCATGTTTCACTTAATTGCCCTCCTTTCTCCCAGATCACACCCAAAGCCCTGTTGGCCCCGCCCCCTACACCTAACCTTAGTGATCGTCCCCGCCCATATTCGAAAAAGCCCTGCCCCCGGAAGTCCCGCCCCTAACCAGCCTCTGCTTCCTCGGTCCCAGCCGGTGCCTTCCAGTGACTTGTCCAACCAGGATTGTCTTTCGCGCCCAAGCTTTCCCGGGTGGTGGTTTCACGCTCTGGTCCCGGAACTTCCTGCGCTTCTCTCTCTCGCATTCCAGGGATAAGGACTCCACAGCGTAGGAACTAGCAGAGAAAGGGGAGCCCTCACCCACGACCTAGCATCCACCAGGGAAGCTCCGCCCCTTCCCACCTTCGCTGTTCTAATTGGCTCAAGCTTGCCATCTCTTGTCGTGGATTGGCTCATCGCGCGCTACCCCGCCCCTCGGTAACCGGCTTCTCCAAATGGGCAGTCTCTGCCATCGTTCAGGCCTCGGGGCTCACGATTGGTTGTTGCTCCTGTCCTAAACTTTCTTCCTCATCCCGCCTTCTTTTCCCCAGCGTCCTCCGGATTGGCCGAATTTCTTCACTCACCTGTTTGCCTGTATGGAGATTACGCGTGGTTAGCACCTGCGTAGTGTGTGCGGGAGTAAACTGCGTTCCTGAGACAGAATTCTTAGAAGGCGAGATACAATAAACGGGTGTGTAACATGTAGGCCCAGTTCTACACCACGCTCTGCAGAAACAGTGAGCAGTAAGCCACACCTCCCCAAAGTGCGGAAGACAGAACATCAGAGCTTCAAAGCCAGTCTGAACTATGTAGTTCGGGACAGCCTGGAACTAAACCCCAGTTGTGGGTGGCAAGCACCTTTAATCCCAGCATTGGGGAAGCAGAGGCAGGCAGAATTCTGTGAGTTAAAACCCATCCTGGTCAATATGGTGAGTTCCAGGCAGGCCTGAGCTGTACAAAGAGCCCCTCAAAATAGACCAAAGACTGGAGGGTCTCTTTTTTCTGTCTTTTTCTTCCTTCCTTCCTTCTTTCTCTCTCCCTTTTGTGCAGCTAGTTCTTTTGTCCGAAAAATAGGAAATCCCCATGTAACCCACTTGCTACCTCACCTGCTGGAACTGTAGGCGGGTACCATCACAGTTGTCAAAGAAGCTGAAGAAATCCCCCCCAACTTTTGTTTTTCTTTTTCTTCTCTCTCTCTCTGTCTCTGTCTCTCTTTCTTTTTTGAGACAGGGTTTCTCTGTAGGTGGGAACCTGTCCAGAAACTCACTCTTTAGACCAGGATGGCCTCGAATTTTTTTTTTTGGTTTTTCTAGACAGGGTTTCTCCGTGTAGCTTTGGAGTGCCTAAAGCTCACTCTGGAGACCAGAGTCTGGCACTCACTCTGGAGACCAGGCAGGCCTCGAACTCACAGAGATCTGCCTGCCTCTGCCTCCCGAGTGCTGGGATTAAAGGCGTGCGCCACCATCGCCCGGCGAACTCTTTTATTCTTTTAAGACCGCACTTAGCACTGGCTATCCTCACAGTTGCTATTGTAGCCAAGAATGACCTAACTCTCCTGATCGTCTTTCTATTTCCCAAATCCTGGGATTACAGGTGTTGACCTCCACAAAAAAACTTGAATAGATTTTTGTTTGTTTGTTTTCCAAGACAGGGTCTCTTTGTGTAGCTTTGGAGCCTATCCTGGCACTCTTGCTCTGCAGCCCAGGCTGGCCTCGAACTCACAGAGATCTGCCTGCCTCTGCCTCCCGAGTACTGGGTGTGCACCACCACCATCCGGCATTTTTTTTAAGACTATTTATTTATTATGTGTACAACATTCTGCTTCCATGTATATCTGCACACCAGAAGAGGGCACCAGATCTCATAACGGATGGTTGTGAGCCACCATGTGGTTGCTGGGAATTGAACTCAGGACCTCTGGAAGAGCAGTTAGTGCTCTTAACCTCTGAGCCATCTCTCCAGCCCCTTGAATAGATTTTTGAGAGTCCTTAGATTCACAGAAGAAAGGGCTGTACAGTAGGTGATATCTGTCTCTTGTCGGCCCTGGCAAATGCGTGTTACACAAGGTTTTCAGGAGTGTGCAGGACCCTGCCACTCAACACCAAGCAACACTTTGTGACATGTAGTTCCAGAACTTCAGAAGCAAAGCCAGGAGAATTGTCAAAAGCTCAGGGCAAGCCCAGTCTATAAAGCAAATCCCAGGCTATATAATATGACCCTGTTCCCCCAAAAGAATGACAGTAAGCCCAGTGCATGCCTCCTGTTCCAGAACTCTTCTTGTAGACCAGGATGGCCTTGAAATCAGAGATCTGTTTGTTTCTGCTTTCTGAGTGCTGGCATTAAAGGAGTGTGCCACCAACACCCGGAGAGTAATCTTAATTTCTCTCACTGTTGCCTGCATGTATGTCTGCACACCACAAGGGTTCAGTGTCCATTAAGGGCAGAGAAGGCATTGGATACTTGGGACTGAAGTTATAAGGGGTTGAGCCACCATGTTTGTTCTGGGAATCAAACCTGGATCCTTTGAAAGAATAACCAGTTCTCTTAACTGTTGAGCAATCTCTCCCAACTACCTAGCCTTTATTTTTACTTTATGTGCATGGGTGTTCTGCCTGCATGTATCTGTGTGTGCCACTTGCATGCAGTGCTGAAGGAAGCCAGAAGAGGGTGTCAGATGCCCTGGAATTAGAGTTGTGAGCCACCTTGTGGGTGTTGGGAATTGAACTCTGGACTTCTGCAAGAGTTGCAAGTGTTCTAAACTACTGAGCTATTTCTTCAGCCCCTAAAATAAAATTAAAAGCATAACATTTTCTTTAAATGTGTGCATAAATTATATACATACATACATACACATACACACACATACATGCACAGCACACGGGTACCTAGTGCCCAAGGAAGTCAGAAGAGGGCATCTGACTGATCTCTTGGAATTATAGTTACAATTGACTATGAGCTGGGAATCAAACCTGGGTCTTCTGTAAGTTCAACAAATGTTCTTTTTCATTTGTTTGTTTTTCCAATTTATTATGTATTGTTCTTCCTGTCAGTGAGGGTCCGAAGAGGGCAACAGATATATATCGTTATAGATGGTTGTAAATCACTATGTTGTTGCTAGGAATTGAACTTAGGACCCCTGGAAGAACAACCAGTATTCTTAGCCTCTGAACAATCTCTCCAGCCCTGTTTTTGTTTTTCAAGACGGTGTTTCTCTGGCTGCCCTGGAACTCACTTTGTAGACTAGGGTGACTTTGAACACACATAGTTCTGCCTGTCTCAGCCTCCTCAGTGCTGGGACCCAAGACAAGTGCCACCACCTCCTAGGGCAACAAATGTTTTTTGCACCAAGCCATCTCTCCAGTCCTGCAAAATCAATTTATTTTTAAGTTACATTTTTTATTTTTGGTGGGGAAGGAGGTGTCCTGGGGAGGTCAGAGGTCTTGTGGGAATCGTTCGCCTCTTCCACCAAGTAGGTCTCAGGGATTGAACTCAACTTGGCATGCTGGACAAGACCTTTACCCTCAAAGACATTTCCCAGACCTGCAAAATTAAAATGTAAAACCAGGCGGTGGTGGCACACTTTAATCCCAGTACTTGGGAGATAGAGAAATGCGGAACTCTGTGAGTTCCAGGTCAGTCCGGTCTACGAAGCAGGTTCCAGGACAGCCCTAGCTGTTACAAAGGGAATCCCCTGTTTTAAAAACACTAAATAATTGCCTGGCGGTGGTGGTGCATGCCTTTAGTCCCAGCACTCGGGAGGCAGAGGCAGGCGGATCTCTGTGAGTTCCAGACCAGCCTGGTCTACAAGAGCTAGTTCCAAGACAGCCTCCAAAGCCACAGAGAAACCCTGTCTCGAAAAACCAAAAAAAAAAAAAAAAAAAAAAAAAACCACTAAATAATAAATAAGTAAATAAAAGACACAGCGTTTCTCTGTGTAGCTTTGGAGGCTGTCCTGGATCTCGCTCTGTAGACCAGGCTGGCCTTGAACTCACAGATACCCGCCTGCCTCTGCCTCCCGAGTGCTGGGACTAAAGGCGTGCGCCCAGGTTCTTGTTTTGAGATAGTCTTGGTTGTCCTGGAACTCACTGTGTACACCAGGGCAGCCTTGAACTCACAGAGATATGTCAGCCTCTGCTGGGTTTACAGGGGTGCAGCACCAAGCCACGCCTATAATAAACTACGTTTGTGTTTGTTTGGCTGGTTTGGTTTTACCTAACAGTCTTTCTCTGTGTATTTCCTAGCTGTCCTCCAACTTGCTTTATGTAGATGAGAGAGAGCCCATAGAGGCCTCAGAGGCGGGGCTTCATGGATCCCCGCCCATGACGTCAAGGCTCGATCACATCCTCGGAAGCGAATGGGAAGCAGGGGTGGGACATCTGTAAGTGCTTCCGGTGAGGTTGCCAGTGCAGAGTTCGTGACTCCGCTGCCCCGACTTCTGCTGAAGATGTTTTATCATGTGAGCTGGACTCCCCGAGTGGCGGGGAGGGCAGGGGCAGGAGGAGCTTGGGGACCAGGAAGGGACGGCCAGTCGCCCTCTGTTCTCAGTGCTGCAGGCCTAGTCTACGTTCCCCTTTCTCTACAGATTTCCCTGGAGCACGAGATCCTGCTGCATCCACGCTACTTCGGTCCCAACTTACTCAACACGGTGAAGCAGAAGCTCTTTACCGAGGTGGAGGGCACCTGCACGGGGAAGTGAGTGTTGCTGTCACACCCACCGCGTTGTCGGCTGGATGCACGCTCGATGACTCAAGCCTGTAACCCCTGCCCAATCCCTCCTACTCGCAGGGCTTGTCATTCATTCTGAGGAACCCTTTCACCACTTGTGGCAGCCAGTTTTTGCCTGCTTTGGGCCCTCTGCAAAGTTGGATAACAAAATTTCCATCCGTTATGTGAGCTCAGGCAGTTATTGTACAAATGTTTTTGGTTTTTTTTGAGATCGCCCCCCTGTGTAAACCGGCCTGTCCGCTAACTGCCTGTCTCTCAGTGCTGGAATTAAAGGCTTGTGTCATCACCCTCCCATCCTCATTTGTATTTTTTTTTTTTCTTTCTTTTTCGGTACAGGGAGGCTGTCTTGGCACTAGCTCTTGTAGACCAGGCTGGTCTTGAACTCTGAGATCCGTCTGCCTCTGCCTCCCGAGTGCTAGGATTAAAGGCATGCACCACCACCGCCCGGCTGTATTTTTATTTTTTTAAAAGATTTATTTATTTATTATGTTTACAACATTCTGCCTCCATGTATGCCTGCATGCCAGAAGAGTGCACCATATCACAGATGATTGTGAGCCATCATGTGGTTGCTGGGAATTGAATTCAGGACCACTGGAAGAGTAGTTAGTGTTCTTAACCTCTGAGCCATCTCTCCAGCCCCTGTATTTTTATTTT